TCGTTTCGTCTTAGGTGTGACTGAAGTGTTTTGCTTGGAGACAGACAGCTGCAGGGCACTTTCACGTTGTTTCTCGTCTGCAGAGCCCAAGACGCTGAGCTGCAAAGGCGTATTTACTGTTCCAGCCCAGAACATCGCCTCGGTTTCTGCAGAACCAAGCTGGTGGCTTATGTCCAACATGACTTTTCACAAAGTCTAGGTGGGGGGGTTGCTTTTCTGCCTGGGACCCTGCCTCGGGGCCTAGGCCCCTGCGTCTAGTCCTAAGTCGATTCAAAAGCAACACGTCAAAAAGTGCTCCGAAGGGTTTAAGTGCTGGAGCAGTGCGACCTAGAGAACAGACATGTTTTAGATTTTAGCACTGTCACAACTGGACATCCACCAGACGGCCCCCAAAATGGGTTTCCTTGTGTGTGCAGCGCCTGGGGCAGTGGTGTTGTTGAGGGAACGCCAACAAACTGAACTACTCAAGAAGAGTGAATGGCATATTGAGTTGGAACTGTACGGCACACGCAACAATCAGTATGTAGTTCACAAAACGTGAATTCGACTTTTGCGTGCGCCAGAAAACACGGTGCAGTGCTGTAGAAGAATCACAATTTGACTGCCGATTGCTTATGAAACACAAATCGTGATGTGAAGATTCCATTTTGCAAGCTCGATGAAGCTTCGTAGGCCGGGTGTTGAAGTTGTCTCCTACGATACCCCATGTGTTTATCAGGATTTTGCTTTATCGTATTTCATGCACTTGAGTTTTCACATTTGACTTTGCAATGAGACGTCTTTGAGCATTCAAAACATTTTCAAAATCAGTCCTCTTGCCATGCAGTTTCCATTGCATGTGCAGGCATGAGTTCTGAAGCCACGAGTCCCCTGCAAGGATCGCGCAAATTGTGCTGCAGCCGAAGCTGTTTGCAGACGAGAGAAATATATTTTCAATTTTGATTTCGATCTTCAATAGTTAATAGTCATAATCTATTCCAGCTATCCCATCAATTCCCAATGATCCAAGAACTACAGGATTCAGGCTTGCCGACTGGATTCCTGGGGTGCGAAGCACTTTTGGAAGTGATGAATCCAAAAGCTGCAGCAAACCTGGAGCAGAGGACATAGTTTTATGGGCGTCAAAGGCTTTAATGCTTCTGGAAGCTTGCATGAGCCAGGGCCTGTTCCAGCCAGTTTACCAGGTCGGTTCCAGCCATGAGGTTGTTTGCAGCATCGTCCACGTCGTGGCAGCAAACAGCAGATGTGCATGTGGGAGGTTTCGGGAATGGAATTTGCGTTCCGCCACATTCCAGCTTTCTTCGCCTTCTAAGCCTGCATTGCTTTGGTTGTGATACCCCGGGTGAACCAAGTGCACAGGCACAAGTACAAGTGTCCAAGTAGAAGTCGGACCATGTGCGCGACATTGGAAGTTCGAAAGTTGGCACAACATCCCCACCCATGTGCCACTATCACACCATGACAGGGAGATGTCCCTATCGCCAAAGAAAATTGGTCATGGAGTCCGGGATGTAAGCAAGAACCGTCACTCGATTTCGAAGCTGTAGTCTTTGGTGGATCTCGACGATGCCCAAACGCAGAACGCTTTGCTAAGACCTTGATGAAGAACACCAAGAGTTTAGAACAAGCGCGAGTCACTCGAGTCATCTTCTTGCCGAATATCTCGTTGTCCCTCATCTCCGTGAATGTTACAGAGTTTCAGCATTTGGTGAGCAACGTGTCATCGGATGTGACCTTGGCGGGAATTTCTTCGATTCATGCTGGACCCGGCGTGCGCACGTCGGTCGCCGTGGCTCTGTCCGTGCTGGGATGGGCCAGAGACAATCCAAACCCGTAACTGTTTTGATTTGGGGGAGTCTAGAAAATCTCGTGGACTTCTTCGAGTCAGAGACATGAGTTTCGTGCCATTTGGTGCAGAGATCCTCTTCCCGATCTTGTCTGACGCCGGGGTTCGCTTGCAATTGGTTTTGGACCACATGTTTGACAACGAGCTGGGAGCATCGCCCGTGCAGCGCACACCCGTGGACAGGTCATCGTAATTATGTATACAGGCGGGAAGGATGTAGCCCATCTCAATGGATTGCGAGCGCAGTCAGGGCCACGGCAGAATGTGAGGGTGGAATTCGGCCCAGGTATCACATCTCTTGTTGTCCCTGAATGCAACAAAGAAGGTTAACACTGTCGACAAACCCCGCAAAACGAGACGGTGGACATGCTGGCACACAGTGCTGCCTATCTTCAAGAAGAAGGAGACGACAGACTAACAAAGGCTGAAGCCAAGGTTCAGAAAGCCATGCAGAGGACGAGTTCACAGAGGATGAACGATAGTGGGCATCCAAGAGTTGCTGCTTTCAAGTAGGAGCCCGGCCTTGGCTGTCTCAGCAGACAGGGGACTGGAGATAACGGGTCTTGCTTTAAGTGGAAACCCGAAAACGGCCACAACAACTGCAGGCACTACTTCCACGCGAGTTTTGAGTCTCTCACAAAAGTGTAGCATGTTTACTCAAGGAAATGACAGTGTAATGCACTTAATTTTCTGTGGTTTGTTGCTTGAGAATGTTATTGGACATCACCTGGGATTGTCAACTTCGCAAGGCCGACGACTTCGATGAAGCCTTCATGCTGTTTCTTTGTCCACTCTTGTCCGATTAGCCCGAGGCGATCAAGCAGATGAAGCCAAGGACAGTGACGTGCGAAGCACATGAACTGGAGATATACGGCCAGAAGAACGAGAGCTTCGCAAGTCAGAACACACCTCCCCCCGAAAACCCCGTGGCTTGGCAGCTTGACTGTGCAGGACGTCGGGTGGGTGAAAGCAACGGCGATGGCAGTAAGACTTCGTGACACAAGCAAGCCGAGCACATAGTTTCGATACCTTTCAACTAAGGGTTTTGCAGTTGCCCAGCCTTGAGATAGCTATGGCTTCGTTCTACCGGATGAGGCGCATCGCTCAGCTTCGCATCGCCTTCTCACTCTTGGTGCACTCGCATCGCCTTTCACCTCGTGCAGGAATCTGGGCGCACTCGGTTTGCTGGAGCTTTGCTGATGTGCAGAACCCTAAACCTAAATCCCAAACCCTAAACCCCCAAACCCCTAAACCCCTAAACCCCAAATCCTAAACCCTACACCCTAAACCCCAAAACCCCTAAACCCTAAACCCCTAAACCCCTAAATCATTAAACCCTAGACCCCAAATCCTAAACCCTAAACCCAAAACCTTTAAGGGTTGCGGAAAGCCTCAACTCTCAACCTTCGACCCCTAACTTCCAAGCTACGGTCTCCGCAGTACAGCAGCCGCTGCTGTGGTCGTCATGCCGCCAGGAGGAGGCCGCAGAGTGGTGAAATAGTTTTTTTTGGTTTCGGTTCTGCTGTTTGTGAGTTTTTCCAGGTATTTGGGGTTTTCTTCGAACAGTGGCGTTGAGTTTTGCTGGCTGGGAAACCCAAAAGCTGTACATGAGAGTATGTTCTCGGGGTGCGACGTGCACAATCGGAAAGTGTACCAAGTAGTCCCTGCTAGATGCCTGACTCACTCAGAAAGTTCCATGGTGCCATTGCCAAGCTCTTCTGGATGGACATCAACATCTAGTTGAGGTCTGATGTCGAATCGATGCAATCAAACACTGCTTGAGACCGCCCAATGGCCCCCATCCCCTCTAGACTCGACACTAAATCTTAGTATTCGCAATTGGTATTAGTAGTGGTTTTAATATAAGTATTAGTATTAAACCCTCAAATAAGCCCAAAAACCCCCAACGCCTTACCAAAAAAACGACATCTCCGCTTGCCGTGTGACGTAGCGGGAGGTCTTGGACCGGAGCTATGGCGGCAAAGGAGAGGCGCTCCGGCGAAGAGTGATGCTCATAGTGGGACCTGCACAATTCCAAAAGAGTTTTCGTGTAGATCATATTCTTCTAGAGAATAGTATACTCCAAAAACTTATTCCAACTCTGACCATAGTGATCGCTCCCGGCTGCCTGCCGCAGAAACATGTCATGACCGAAAACCGGCCCTCTATGAACCTTCCCTTGTAAGCTCCACACCTCCAGCCCTCAAAGTCAAGTTTCGACCTTCCCCTGAACTACTGCCTCACCCATGGCACGCAGATACACCTCTACTGTACCCTGGCTGCTTGCGGGTTGAAAATTGTGCAGCATGGTCTTCGGGTTCACACTGTTTCAACTCGATGGCCAACGGGAGGGGACTGGCTGGTTGCAGCTGACAGTACCGTCTTCGGTCTTCAACCTTGTAAATGCTCATCCTCCAGCACAGAGGCCCCCCGGCAAGCTCTTCAGTTCCGGATGTTAGTCTTCCATGCCTGTTTGCGGACTGCGACGTGTGTGTGTGTGTGCGTGTGCGTGTCATTGCCTAGCAGTTGCGGAAGGTGACGAGAACATTTCTATCAACGGTGCTTGTCAGTAGTAACCAGCAGCAGGGACCACAGCATCAGTGCTGCAGGCAGTGATGACCCAAAGTCAGTTGCAAAGCATCGTCAGTTTAACAACTTCCCCCATGCAGCCCATGCATGTTCAAACTTTATTCAAAGTGATCGATCGCAGTGACTAAGAAATTGCTTTATCCACAACTGAAGCTGTGAAGCACTCGCATATTAAGCTCCTTTTCGGACAACCTCTGTGTGTCTGAGAGCACTTGCACCGGTGATGCCGAAAGGCGAGCCATGTCGATTTTGGGCGTCAGGTTTCTGCATGCGAGGCGAGAGCTGCTGGTACTCCCACGGCGAAGCTACGGTGGCTTCCTCTAGCAAGGGCAAAGGCAAAAAAGGAGGCTCCCAGGCGCTGCACAAAGGTGCGCGGGCGCCGCACAAAGGGAAAGGAAAGGATGCCAAGGGCAAGCAGGGAGTTCTGAATCCGCTGGTTTTCATGAGCCTTGGAGGTAGCCATCCCGATGAGCTCTATTCGGAGGCAAAGGCTGCAAAGCAACGTGGGGACACTCCACTCGCCATCGAACTCCTCTTCACAGCCATTCAGATCGATGCCACGATGGGTCCTCAGTTTTCAAGCCAGAGCAGCAGCAAACGAGCCAGCAAGGATCTGGAGAAGTGGGCTTTGACGAATGAAAGAGCCATAGGGAAGAGCCTCGCGATCTTCGAGCGAGTGAATCGGCGACTGGGCCTGTCGATGGAGAGCGGGAGCGAAGACTGGGAAGAGGGCTTCAGCGATGACCTAATGGACTTCGACTCTGACTGTGAGGAGGAGGTTATATTCCTGAGGCCCGATGGCACGACGGAGTCGAAGAGCGTGGCCTGGTGCTTGGATAACGACTTCTTTGAAGTGGAGCCGGGGCTCTGGTCGGGGCCCTGGTACGAGAAAGCCATGCAGCCAGGAGCCACCAGCTCGGCGAGTCGAGGAGGGGAGGAAGATCCGAGTTTGGATGCGCTGAGCTTGTACACCCGGGCTGAGCTGATGGAGGCTCGAGACAAAGCTCGCCAGATCCAAGTTGGACTGGAGAAAAGTCGCGACGAAGCCATCTTCACCAATGACTACATGAAGATGGAGTCAGAACTGCAATTGATGCAAGCCCGTGAATATGCCGCGAAGCGGCACTCACAGAGCCAGAAGAAGTTGCAGCAGCTTCGGCAGGTTGTGGCAAGAGGAGTCGAAGCCTTGAATACCGGAGACCTCGACGTTCACGAGCAAGTCCTGACTGCTTTGCTTTCTGACTTCAAAGAAGATGCCGACGCCTTCTTGGTTGCCAAGACGTCGTGCTATGTGGACTCGGTGGAGCCAGGTAGTCCCATAGACTACGTCTGTCGCCTGCTCGGCCAGCACGCGCGCCTCACCAAGACCCTTCTGACCGACGTCTTAGACCTGGCAGGTTACTGGTCCGATGTGCCCTTCTGCCGCACGCTCCTGGTGCGCCAAGGCCTCTTGCAGCTGGTTGGGGAAGTTTTAGATGCATGGCCGATCTCTGAGGAGAATTCTGCTGGAATCCGTTTGAAGGCCCTGGAGGCCCTGCCACAGGTGATCGTCGATCGAGATTCCCACACCCAGGCTGTATCTTCAGAGTGTGTGGCCTTGCTGCGGGGACTCGCCGATTCTGCATGTCAAGCCGAGCAGCCGGCACATCAGTTCTACGCCCTTTCCATCGCAGCCAACGGTTTAGGAAATCCAGGAACAGGCGATCTGGCGCGTGCTCTTGTCAAGCAGGGGCTGCTTGGTCCTGCCATCCTTCTGGAGCACGCAGGAGGTGATTGCAGGGTTCATAACTCCAGCCGCAGTGTTCGGGACGCAGCTCATCACCTCATCAGCTCGATGAGTATGCGTCTTGGTCCAGAGACGATCCCCACCGTCAGAAAGTCCTTGCGAGGCATGCTCACTAAGGGCAAGCCATGGAGCTCGGCAGACGAGGAGAGATGGAGACAATCGTCACCTGGGATCCCGGCGGCAGATTGCAGTCTGCAGTAGGACTCACTAGAGCATCATTAGATGGGTAGATCGATTCACAAGGCACACCGCCGTTTGATGTGACAACTGTGACAAGCATGACAAGGCGTGGAGTTCAAAAGTTGTTCATGCCAGCACAGCTTTCAGAGGGGATCAGATCTGCACTGCACGCGAGAGACCCTAAACCCTCACGGCTCATCCTGCGGGGCTTTGATGAGACAGTGGACAAGTTTGCAACTTTTCTCTACCTGATCACCGAAATTTACCAACAGACACTCTTCAGCTCTGGTCCGCCTTAAACAATAATTCTGAACCCTTGCACCCTAAACCCTAGACTGTAACCCAGAACAGTAATTACATTCCGTCTTGCAGGCAGCCTCGCAACTGCTCTGTGCCCTGCGAGCCGCGGGTCGCACTTGCTACACTCGAGTCCGGCCAGCCTTTGGTGACACAGGAAACCTTGAACCCCACACCCTATGTACAAGCCCCAGGCCAAAGGCCCCTGAATAACTAAATGCCTTGTAGCCCCCAAAGCCCTGTCCCGCATGGTGCCGGAGAGCAAGAGTGGTCTCTTTTCATTGCTTGGCGGTCCAGGGCAGAAGCCGGCACCGGTGAGGACATCTCCGTGTCAAGTGGCTCTAAGCAGATCCGCTTGCTTCTTGCCGGAAGCTTGCGGCCAAAGCTTTGGAATTCGAGCTGTTGGTCTCACTTTCTTCTTGCCGGAGTCCGTAAGCAAGCGGCAAGGACCTCAGAGGTGCATGAGCTATACATCCCAAACCCGTGCGAAGACGGCTCAACCTTGCCAACAGATATGTCTTCGGGCTTAGGATGAGAACTTGCGCAGGCAAGCATGAAATCCGTGTATCGAGCTTTGAATTGGCTCAAAAACAGAAAGAACGACATAGCAATGCTTTCGACTCGAGATCACCGACCACGAGGGCACGAAGGGCGAATTGCTCTACTGTGTGAATGCTTAGACCTCGAAAAAGAGGCGATTTTGAGCTCTTTACATCAGCCTTTGGAGGCTTGCGCGAACTCTCAGAAGGCTATGAGAGTGCATGCGAAGCTCAAGAGACGTGATGTAAAGGCACTGATACCAAACTTGCCGGACCTCATGCTGATGAACTTGCAGGAGATTCTGGATGTCTGGCCCGAAGCAGAGGACCGTACGGATCTTCCTCTGTCCCATGGGGCTGTCGCAGACATGAACGAGATGCAGCTCTCCTACCTCCTTGGACGCGAGACGCCCTCGTATGGTGGTTGCCAAATCTACACGGAGCTGGATTGGCCCGGAAACTGGGTTCTTGTTAAGGAGTTTAACTTAAGCTACTACAGTGGGGATCCACAGTAAACCCTAAACCCTAAACCCTACATTTCTACAGTAAACAAAAGGCTTCTTTCTTATGGTACAACTTAAGTTAAAGCCAAAAAGAACCCAGGAGAGAAGTGCCTCGATCTCCTCAAGCTCGAAGAGGCGCCTTCCCGAGCAGCCTAGCGGCCCCCTGGGTTGCTCTTTCCTTAAAGGGTTGTATAAGGGATCTATGATAGGGTTCTATATTGGGGGCCTTAATAGCTAGAACAGAGGGTTGTTTTTAAAGCCTAAGAAAGTTCCATGCCTCAGGCAGTGAAGCATGTGGTGAGGAAGGAGCCCTTGCTGCGAGCTATGTACCGAAGAGAAGATAAACGGGAAGTGTGGGTGCAGGACTGCTTCGTGCTCTGATTTCAAGAGAGGTTACGAAGGATCGGATTCACGGTGCTTGGAAGTACTGTTGTTTGGTAGCCACATCAATATGCATTCCATCGTAGCTTGGCGTATGGTATGTGCCATTTTCGCAATCTGACAAGGCCGGCAAGGCGGTAGAGTTGACAGACAGAATCTGAACCCCAGCAAGGGTTTTTATCTCCGCATCGAGCGTAGACAGACCCCCAGCCTTCGACACGCCGGCGCCAACGCTTGCGCATCAGGAGATTCGAAAGGACCTCGACTGGCATCTGAAGCTGGAAGACGATCCCGACGTGGCGCGGATGATCTGGAGTCGCCCTTTGCCTTCGGACCACTTTTGGGCCCTGGGGGCCTCCAAGCCGGAGGGCAAAGTTCGGCTGCATCTGGCCGTGGACATGACCTTCCTGGATGCAACGAGCTGGTGGATGGTGTTCCGCAAGGTTGCAGCGGCTTATGATGCGGGGCTGTCGGTGGCGATTCAACAACTTGAGCCTTCCGACAATGATTTCTTTGAGTACTGCAACCGCCGGAATCTTCATGATTTGAAAGGTGAGGATGAGTGGAAGGTCCGCTTGGCCAGCTTTCCCCTTGGACCCGAGCTTTCTTGGTGCAAGCGACTGGGCCAGGGCCAAGTGGAGGCTTTTGGGCGCCTCTCTTCATGCCTGCCGTGTAGTACATGGCTTGCCATGAAGAAGTTGGGTCAAAACTACGGCGTGACCTCCACGAACCTTGTGCTGACCTACTTCCAGGATGCATTGGCCTTCAACTCCCGTTGCAGTTCCTTCACGCTGACAGCCACCGTTAGCCGTCGACCACCTGAGTGCCGAGGTCTCGGGGAGTTCACGAATGTTGCGCTCCTGCCCTGTGACGAGGAGGTCCTGAGGAAGGATCGGAAGTCCCGAGCGCAAGAAGTAAAGCAACATCTTCTTCAGCAACTCCAGCTGGACCAGGTCTCAGGTATGCATGTGATGAGGCTCTGGCGCCAGTTGCGTCATGAGGAGCTGCTCCTGCCTGTGGTGGTCACATCCTTGTTGGATGTGGTGGAGCCAGTCAGAGTGGGCGGACAAGTGCCGAGCATCAACTACCAGTGCACCCAAACACCAACGGTCCGGCTCGATATCCAGGTTTACGAGTCATGCCAGGGTTTGCAGATCAACTTTGACTTCGACAAGAGATGGCTGAGCGAAGATGTCGTGAAGCAGTTGCAGAGGTCCTTCGAGGAGGTGGTTGCGTGAAGTTTAGATCTGCGGGTAGTGTTACCATCCACATCCCACTGTCTTATCAAGCATCCAAAGGTCGTGCATGCATGAACTACATTGCAACATCCCTCCGTCCATCATCCATCCAACCATCCAGGCAGGCAGGCAGCCAGCCAGCCAGCCAACCAGCCGTCCATCCCTGCATGCACGCATTCCTTCACATGGGGTTTTCTAGGGATAAGTTACATGCACATTCGCACATGCTAGTATACTTGTCTACGGAACACATACAGGGTTGACTACCCTTTATGCATGCGCATATGCACCTACACCTGCAGTGACACTTACGCACGCAAACACATGCATACTGTTTATAAGGATGTGCATATGTTTGTTTATATGGGTAAAGATGTATATATGTGTATAGGTATATAAGTACATATGTATATATGAGAGCGTGTGTATGTCTATATATAGATATACACATACATACATACATACATACATACATACATATATATATATAATTATATATATACACACGTGTATACAGGAATATATGTATATATGCATATGTGTACATATGCACGTATGTATATCTGTGCATCTGCATATGTGTATATGTGTATATGTGTATATGTGTATATATGTACATATGTATATATGTATATATGCATATATGTGTATATGTTTATATGTACATATGTATATATGTATATATGTATATATGTGTATATGTGTATATGTGTATATGTATATATGCATGTATGTATATATGCATATATGTAAATATGTGTATATGTATATATGTATATTTTTGTATATGTATATATGTGTATATGTTTCTGTATATATGCGCACATATGCGTATATATGTGTAGATACGCTTAGATATGTGTATGTACGTGTACTTTATGTGTGCATACGTGTATATATGTGTATTTGTGTGCAGCTCTGTGTATGTATGTGTTTATGTGTGTATGTGTTCATGTGTCTATGCGTGTACGTGTACTTGCCTTTTATGTATACGTGTATACATGTATATGTATATATGCATGCATGTGTACACATGTAAATACATGTATATGCTTGTATATACCTGTATATACATATATAGACCTGTATCGGCATGCTTTTAGACATACATATGCATACATGTATATATATATAATATTTATTTATATGTGTGCGCATGCATATCTGCGCACATTCTCTGTCACTCTCTCTCTCTCTCTCTATACATCTTTGTAGATAAACTCATGCTGTATGTACAAATGCACATGAGTCTAAAGGCCTGTATGCGTGTATGTGTATATTTATATATGTACATACGTATATAGGTGTATACTGTATATGTATGTGCGTATGTATGTATGTATGTATGTATGTATGTATGGATGTCTGTATGTATGTATGGATGTATAGATGCAGAATATACGTATATATGTGTACATGTTCATGTGTATCTATGTTTCAGCGTACCTATGATTGTATGTATGTGTAGGGATTTAGATATCTACGTATGAATGCATGTATGTGTTTATGTATATGGGTGTATGTATAAAGGTGTGCATGTGCATGTCTATTTGTGTATCTATGTATCTATGAACAAACGGTTTTATGTATTTACGCATCTAGCTGTTTCACATGTTTTGCATGCATGTAAATCGGTGTACATATGTTTATATGTTGGTGTGCATATACGGCTTGAAAATCTTGTTGGTTCTGTACATTAATATGCATATGTATGTATATGTGTGCATTTGTTTGTATTACATGTATAATGTATGTCGATGTATGTATATGTAAGAGTGTATATGTATATGTATATGTTTTTGTATATGTATGTGTCTATGTTCTCGCTTCTGTTTGTTTATGTACGTAAATCTATACCCGAGCTGTACTTCAATTTTTTGCATCGTCAGCGTTGTTTTCCTACGTGTTGCATGGATTTAGTTTGTATAATGTTTTTTGAACTAATGATCTTCAGAATTCGTCCTCGTGCTTTCGATTCTTTCCGATCTTGTCTGTCCCGGCTGCAGGAGATAGTCAAGGCGATATGGCTCCAGTAATGCCAGTCTTCAAATTTTGCCGTCGTTCGTAGCAGTTATCCACATCTGTTCCGTGCGTTACGCTTGCACAGTCATTGGAGAAGCGCCTTTTGGAGGCAAGCGCCGAAGGGTTTCTGGGCGATGGCTCGTTAACACGTTTGTAGGAGCTTGACAGGGTTTGTAACGACTTCAATGAGGCTTTTCCCGGCAGATTACGTGATGCATTCTTGCTTCTGTGTGCATGGTCGCCTGCCAGATGTGCCTTCTTCCTGAATCACGGTTGTTTCCACAATGCAAGCAGTTTGCACTTGTAATGCCGAGGACGAATCTGTCCTTTGCGCATGCGCTGCCTATGTCCTTGTCCTGCATTTTGGCCTACGTGATCAGTTGGAGCCCAAGCGGACACGGGGCTGGGATTTGTACCCAATTTTGCTCGTATTTAGGCGTCTTCCTGATTGAGGCTCCATTGTTCTGCAATCCAACATCGAGGCCTGTTTGATTGTTCAGGAGCATCGAGGAAACCGTATTCCTGTTTTGGAGACTGCTTGCATCCGGATGCAGGTGGACCAGAATACCTTCGGGAGTGATGGCAGTTGGGGCTGGACAGCGGTGCCTTTACCGCATGTGCACAGTAAGTGACTGCAACCACGGGCTTCAGATTTGAGGTCCTCCTGGTCGTGGTGGCCTCAGACAGCATGCAGTGTAGACTCAGACAACCCTCTGATATTTCATTGGCCCCATTCCGCTCAGATTTCCTCGGCAATGTGTTTGTCTGGGCACCGAAATCTGGAGTGCGCCATGTTGGAGCCAATTTGGCCCTGGGGTATCGGAGCTGGACTCGGACGATTGCCTCAGGTACCAGAGACGGCTGTCGTTCCTGTCTCTTTGGGCATCCTTTGCAGTGCTGAAGGTGCAACTAGTTCTCGCCAATGTGGAAAAGAAGATGAGGTGGCGAGCCCCCTTGACAGGACATTCAGGTAGACGATCCGGCCACCTTCGTGGACTACATGGCCTTTGAAAGAAGGGCATCCGGCTTCACTCCGAGAACTTGCATGGCTCCTGTGCCAACAGTCCTGTTTGCGTTTTACCATCATGTTGATTCAGGGGATGCACATGGCGAAACCCCTGCGAATGGCTCGGCCTCTTCGGCATGTTACCGTGATGCATTGATTTGCAGGCACTGTGAAGGCTTGCGGCATGAGTGGCCTGAGTACGGCTTAGAGAATGCCAGGGTTTCGCATCAGCAGCGTAGCGCCGCCAGGGACCACGGGCGATGAGGGAAACACGACTGGCTCGACTGAAAAGGGGTCAAGAGCTGCAGCTGCCTGAGTTTTTGTCGTTTAATGCCTTTGAAGTGCCTTTGTCGAGTGTCCATGCGAACTGCTTCCCAGGCTGCGCAGGTTGAGCTCTAGCCCCGGAATGGGAAACCAGGCCTTCCGCAATGCGCTCATCGGGCCCACGGCTCAGAGGCTCAACGTCTGCACGAGCGATCAAGACCGCGCAAATTACCGAAGGCTCCTTGACATCCTGTCCTCTGCACGGGAGGATTTGGCACAGGCCCTGCTCAGATACTCATTGGATGCAATGCATTGCCCACTCCCCAGCACCAGCAGGCAGATCGCCTTTTAAAGCCCGCGGTCGGCGAGCAGCTCCTGAAACAGGAGTGTGCTGTGGTTTGCCCTTTTTTGCGCTGCTGTCCGCTGTTCACAGGGTATCGATGGTGAAGCGCAGCAAAAGCTGTTGGGGTCCTAGAGCGGATCATTTTCGTGTGCTGGTGTTGTAGTTGTCAATGGCTAGGCGTAACTGTTAACCTTATATATATATATATACACATACATACATACATACATACATACATACATACATACATATATATATATACAAAATATATATACATATATATATATATGGAAAACCTTGCGCAGCTTGGTGCTTGCCTCGCCAAGGCTAGATCTCTTCGACGACTTGGCACCTGTTCCCCGGCTCCCCCGAAAGGTTGACAAAATGCCAGGCTCTCGGATGTAGGTGTTCAGTTGCACAGCATGCTCTCCTCGACGAAGACCAGAACCTACTACGCTGAGGCTTGACGAAGGGGCTGTGAACGGAGATGACAAGGAGAGGGAAAACAGAACGGAGGCACTTGGCCACAGGAAGCATGAGAACTCTGACTTCGGATTGTGACGTCTGGCGAGGCCTGGGGCTGGGAGGCCCAAAGCTGAGCATCGAAGCTATGCAGAGAAAGCAAGAATGCTTGCCCACCTGCCCCTCAGGTGCTTCCGATTTCGGGCTCGCTTCACAGTGGTACAGTGGCTTTGAAAAGGAAGCGGGTAACATAGCTCTCCTGAAGCCAAGGACCTGCTACCAGCTCTGCAAGGAAGGCCATGCTGTCTGAAGTCACCTAGGGGATCCGAAGCAGCAGAAGGAACTTGACGGTACATGGATCTACGATCTACTGCATACAGCTAGAGAAGTAATCGTTGAAGGCCGATGTTCCTTCACCGCTGGCTGGTGCTGGAGAGTCGGTTCTGGTTCCTGTGGCATCCAGCTCAGTGTTAAGGATTTCCGAAGAGAGCAACGTAACGATATCCGAAGATTCTGGCGACCCAAGGTCTCAGAAGCCGCAGGGGGCAACTCAGCTCTAGGCGCTTTGCTTCCTTGTCAAAGAAAGTTACAGCGCTTAGAATGAGTGAAAACATCGAGAAGCTCGAGCTGTCAAGCCTGAAAGAACGCCTCGAAAGCTGCACAAAGTGCATGCTTGATTTTGTGAATTTGTGTTTGCTAGTGGCTAGCTAATCTGCAGGCAGTGTCATATGCAGATGCGCAAACAGCAGATCATGCAATCATTCCTACCAGGCTCCTCTCTGGTCGAGAGCTTGCTTGAAGCTCACAGGACGGGACATCGTCACGAGCCACGATTCGGTCATTGAGCAGGTTTTGCGAGCAAATCATGATTCGTGTGTACACCTCGCAGCCATTCTTGCCAAG